CAGACCCTGTGCCCCAAGCCCCGTCTCCTGGCTTCTAGCTGGACCCACAACCCGCAGGCCCCCAAATCCCCCACCAGCCCCCAACCTCCCCAACTTCCCTGGAAGCCCAGCAGCCTGCTTGGCTTCCCCCAGTGACCCCCACAGTTGAGCACTGCCCCTGTAGCCCTGAGGCAGGCACGCACACAGGGGTGCACACTGAAGCACACACCACATACACAAGGATGCATACAGATATACATCTGATGTGCACATGGATACACCCATATACACACATGCACACACACAGGGATGCACACATGCACACACACAGGGTTCTACAGAGGAGCACGCACATGGGGATGCATACAGATGCACAAAGAACACACAAGGATGCACACAGATACACACAGGCACACACACAGGGAAGCACAGATTCACGCATACAGGGATACACACAGATGCACATGGCACGCACACACCTACACACATACACACACACACAAGGATGCACACAGATATCTCCAGCAATGCACAAAGATGCACACATATGCACACACACAGGGTTGCTCACATGTACATGCAGGGCTACACATGGATGCACACACCACTCCTGACCTCTGCTCCCTGAGCCCCAACCCCATGTCCCCGGCTCAGCTCTGTCTGCGTTCTTCCCAGAGGAGGAGTTCCGGGCACAACTGCTGAGCCCCATGCCTGGCCATGCCCCACGCCCCTCTGCGCTGGCTCCCAGCAAGCCAGCACCTCCCAGCTGTGACTGGAGGAAGGCAGGGGCTGTCACACCTGCCAAAGACCAGGTAGGGGGGACTGGAGTGGGGGGAGCAGGGCAAGAGCTGCGGGTTGGGAGTGAGGGGCACCAGCAGGGCTGGCAGAGACTGTGGGTCCAGAGTGAGAGGCAGTGGCAGGGCTGGGGAAGGGCTGTGGGTCAGGAGTGAGGGCACCATCGCCCTGCGTGTGGAGGGTTTTGGAGCTACAGTTCAGGAGTGAGAGGCACCAGTAGTGCAGGGGTGGCCAGGGAGCTATGAGTAGGAAGAGAGGGGTGCTATCAGGGCTGGAGAGAGTTTGCGGGCTGCAGGTCAGGAATGAGGGGCCCTGGTGGGGCTGGGTGGGGGTGAGGGGCTCTGGGTCAGGAGTGAGGGGCACCATCAGGGCAGGAGAGCACCTGGTGGCTGCGGGTTGGGAGTGAGGGGCAGCAACAGGGCTGGGGGATGGGAGGGGACTGTGGATTGGGAGTGAGGGGCACCATCATGAGGAAGCTTGATGTTGGTGGGAGCACCCCCCTTCTACTACCAAGCAGCCTCCCCCCACAAGGCTCCCAGCCAACCCCCTGTCCTGTCCCCCTTCTCCCAGGGCCAGTGCGGTTCCTGTTGGGCCTTTGCCGCAGTCGCCAACATCGAGTCGCTCTGGTTCATCCGGCACCAGGAGCTCTACAACCTCTCTGTGCAGCGTACGAGGCCCTTGCTGGAAGGGGGCTGGGGCTTTCTGGGGGGAGGCGGATGGTTCCAGAGGGCAGCAGAGGGGGGAGCTGTGCACCCTGGGGGAGCTGGGGACCAGGGAGATGCCTGAGGCTGGGGGACCCCAGGCCAGGGGAGTGGAGTGGCAAGGGGAGCCCCCAGTACAGGAGCAGGGTCCTGACTCCAGGGTGTATTGCCTTGCAGAGGTGCTGGACTGCAGCCGGCTGCAGGTGGCCTGTGAAGGCGCCTTCCCCTGGGTTGCATTCACTGTTGCCTGGATGTACGGTAGGTGGGGGCTTGGCCTCATCGCTCCCTGGGCTCATTTACTCCCATTCCATGCAGCAGAGCAATGCACAGACCCTCCAGGCTGAGATCAGGGCCCCTATATAGCACCAGGCACAGTGCAGACCCCCTAGGCTGACATCAGAGTCCCTATAGCACCAGGTGCTGTGCAGACCCCCAGACTGAGATAAGCACCCTGTAGGACCAGGAACTGCACAGACCTTCCCACCCCCAACCCCCTCAGGTTGAGAACAGAGCACCAAGTGCAAAGACTCCCTGGCTGAGATCAGAGCCCTTGTAAAATGATGCTCAGCACAGACCCCCTCCAGGCCTCCCCTGCTGACTCTCCTTCCCCTTCCACAGGTCTGACCCCAGAGGAGGAGTACCCATACACGGCCTGCCAGAACATGTGTGAGGAAAGGCACCGAGCTGTCGCCCATGTCCAGGCCTTCCAGATCCTCTCGTCTGATGAAAAGAGTGAGGAGCTGTGGGGACCCCAGCAGGGCTGGAGGATGGGGCACATGGGCTGTTGGGGTGGGGAGGGGTCTTTGGAAGGAGGGGAGAGAAACTGCTCAGGCCCTGGCCATGTTCTTGCTGGGGGGTGTGTGTGGGTGTGCATCCCTGTGTGCGTGCATGTGTCTATCTGTGTTTATCCCTGTGTGTTCAGTGTGTGCACCTGTGTGCATAGTGTGTGTGTGTGTGTGTGTGTGTGTGTGTGTGTGTGTGTGTGTGTGTGTGTGTGTATATATGAGGGTATTCGTGTTACTGTTGTGCGTGCATATGTGTGTATCCCTGTATGCATCCCTGTGTGTCTGGAGTGTTCATCTGTGTGCACTGCTGTGTGTGTGCACTGCTGTGTTTACGCACAGGCATGTGCATATCTCAGCCACATGTGTGCATCAGTGCATGGGGTGGGATTTCAGAGAACTGTGCAGTCCAGAGGCTGCAGGGATGGGTAGGGAGCGTTGGGAGTCTCTCCCAGCTCCCCCCCCGCCCCCCCTGCG